GTTGGATTTTGCTCTGTAACAATGTAGACAAACAATGCTTAAGGACAAACATTGGCAACTGGTTGGATTTTGCTCTTTACCAAAATAGATTAACAATGCTAATGGGCAAACATTGACCCGTTTGGGTGGATATATAGTCTGTGTTAAAGTAAACCATGATGTTTGGGAAACGCTGGTCAATTGGCAAATTATGTTCAAAATCTAGGTAACAAATGCTGACCACTGGGCAAATGATGTTCTAAATATAAAATGTAAACAATGAGAATTGCGAAACTATTACCACCGTGTGTATTCTATCAAAGTAAACCATTGTAGTTGGGGAAACTCTGACCCCTTGATGGATTATATCATATATCAAAGTTTACTATGATAGCAGGAAAACGCTGGTCAAGCACTGTGCGTATTATACTCTACATCAAAGTAAACCATGGTCGCGAAGAAACTCTAGCCCCTGGACGGATTATATTCGATGTCAAAGTTTACTATGCTAGCATTAAAACGTTGACCTTTGGGTGGATTATATACTTTATCAAAGTAAACCATGGTCTCGGAAAAACACTGTTCAGTGGGTAGATTATATGCTATATCAAAGTAATACATGTTAGTGGGGAAACTTTGGCCACTGGGGGAATTAAATGCTATGGCAAAGTAATACATAGTAGCGGGGAAACTTTGGCCAATGGGTGAATTAAATGCTATGGCAAAGTAATACATAGTAGCGGGGAAACTTTGGCCAATGGGTGAATTAAATGCTATGGCAAAGTATTTACATAGTAGCGTGAACTTTGGCCAATGGGTGAATTAAATGCTATGGCAAAGTAATACATAGTAGCGGGGAAACTTTGGCCAATGGGTGAATCAAATGCTATGGCAAAGTATTTACATAGTAGCGTGAATACGATCAATGCTTTTGAATGGGGACATATGGTTGGAACCCCCTTTTTATCCTGGTTTTGAACCCCCTTTTAAAAGTGGCTGGATCCGCCCCTGCACCAAGAACCAAACGTTTGGATATCCAAGGATACACAAAAGCCAATAGATTCTAAATCTGAAAGAGCCAATTAAAAAGCGTGTTTTGGTATAAATCTCTAGATCATTAAAGTCATGACATCCAACCCCATCGAGACCGATTGCTTTTTAATCAAGTAAAATTTGTTTTTTTTACAAAATGCGAAATTTCTTTTTTTAAGAATGCATACTCATTAGATGTGCGACCAAGGGGCAATAACCAATCACTAAATTCTCATATCTTCGTATGTCTCATACAACCTTGACCGGACTTTAACTTTTGACACTGGCTTATGATATTTGGCATGAAGGTGTATTACCAAAAGACAATGTGTCGCATATTATCATGACCGTCATGTGACCTTTGACCTGAAAGACAAACAAAGTGATTTTTCTTTTGCATTTTCATGTGCGGAACATAACTATTCTCCTTCACATACGCTTTTGATATTTGACACATGGGTGCAGCACCTCAATATGAGGTGTCGCGTACCATGGAAGTTGACCAATAATTGATTTAAGACATAAGACATAAAGCTTTATTAGAGTCGGTATGTGCAAATACAATTATAAAACATAAGCTCTGAAGAGCTTTTAAAACCGACAGAGCAACAAATAAAACAAAACATACATATCAAGTCATGCACACATAAATTAAACATATAAAGCAAGAGTTCATATCAGTATATAAACATGCAGCACAAAAGTTCTTAAAAGCATCTTACAAGTTAAACACACACTGAAACATGCACTTGTGAGATAAAAGCACAAACGCAAAAATAAAATGGTTTGCACATTAAAAGCACATATAGATTAGTTAGTTACTAAAACTAGCACAAAGCAGCAGAAGCACTATAGTAAAGATAATAAAATAAAATTGCCATGCTGAAAATAAAGCATTAAACCAAAAATAATGAACAGAAATTAACTGGTTTTGCAGGCAAAACATTGGCATGAGCTGCCAGACCAAGAATTTATCAAGTTCTTGAATTGATTTAAAGATGATTGCTTACGTAGCACATCTGGCAGCTCATTCCAAAGCTTAGCACCTGCATACCTTAAAGATTGTAGGCCGTATGCAGTTGTTCTTACATGTGGTAGGTCGGCTGTATTCTGGTATCTGAAAGAGTAAGTGTTTTCCTTTAAGTGTATTAAATCGTGGAGATAAACAGGACAATCTTTATTAATAATTTTGAAAACTTCAATAGCCAATGATCGCATTCTTCTTATTTTTAAAGATGGTAATTTTGATTTGCAGAGTAGATCTTCATAACTTGCTGAATAGTCTTCATAGATAAACCTTAGTGCTCTCTCTTGAATTTTCTCTATCTTTTTTGTATTAACCTCCCCACAAAAGTGCCAAACTAGTGGGCAGTAATTAAAGTTGGACATTATGAAAGAATAATATATTGTTAATTTTCCGAGTTTAGTCAGGAGTTTTCCTATTCTTTTTAATACATTTAACTGTTTGGATGCCTTTTTACATATTATAGAGACATGTTCATTGAAATTTAGTTTAAAATCTATTGTTACGCCTAGAAGTTTAACGTTATCTTCACATTCTATTTCATTACCTTCTAATTTAAATTTTAGGTTTTTGTCTTTAGTTTTTTTTTTACCTACAGCTATTGCTTGAAATTTTTCTGGATTTGCTTTCATTTTATTTATTGAGAACCAATTTATCAAAATTTTGCATATGTCCACACAGAAACCATTTATATTCTTGCTTGCTGTGGTCAGACCTTTTCAGTGTAAATTAAGGTTTTGTACCTATGGGTCATGCGGCTCCTCATATAATAAATTTGTCATATTTCTCAAAAAATGATGCAGATCCCCATCCTTTACACATATATAGAATCTTAATTACTTTGATAATACCTTTCTATTTCATCATAGGTTTTGTCTTGTCTCGCCTCACTCCCTTCATATCATTAATGGATAAATAGCTTGAAAACTCACATCACAACACATAACCATATCTATGCTTAATCAGCTATTATACCTTTTAGTATACCATAGATTTTTTCGCTGGATGTCACGTCCTTTACATAAACTGTTCAGATCACCACTCCAAAGCCATACATTTTGAAACTGTAATGACTTCTACAGATGAAAGAGAGACATTCATTTCAGTCTACTGAGACATTTCTGCCTAGTTAAACAAATTGAGATTCACTTTAATTGGTGAACTCATTTGAAATTGAATGAAATCTCAACTGTGCTTAAAATGAAATGTGGTGAAGTTGTAAACTTGTAGTAGTTACATTTGCAAAGTACTAAAACGCTCAACTATACGATTTTCATTGCAGTCTTAAATAAATCCTGTTAGTCTTAACTGCATTCCTATTTTTGTTGGTTAAATTGGAAAAATACTTTGAACTGGTATAATTGAACTTTTTGCATTGACAAGGATCTAATCTGAGCCAATGACCTCTCATTATGATATCAAGTTTACCTGTATATCTTGTCCATCTCCTTGTGATTCAGTTATCCATCTGGAATAGTGTGATGCATAAATCATGTTAGAAAACGATTTATAAGTGAACCTTTGAATTTTTTATTCACGAGTGATCCTGATAAAACATCAACATTTGTTTAGCCTTAATATCTTTAGTGATTCCTTCTTAAGACATTGAATAACATGGCAACAAAATTCATAGTTTCTTGTCATAGAATTTTGTCAGACTCTCCCCGACTTGAAATGTTTTCCCTTTTAACTTGAAGGGTTATGTAGAGGTCTGTTCTTAGGAAGAGGACAGACACATTAATGGACATGTCAATCTTTGACATCACATATTTTTGACGTCACGATATACACAGTACCAGGATTGTGCTAGACATATATATAGCATAAACTTTTGTCTATAATTGTATACTGCCCATTAAATGTCTTTCTCAGTTTTATGTTTGATTAAGCTTTAAGTTTGCTGTCACTGATATATACTCTTGCCATAGATTTAAAGAATTTATTTGTTATTTCATATGAGGACTCATTATCATGTCCTTACAACAATCGTAAATAATGACAAATATGAAAGTGTTCATTTGCTGGCTATGATGTTGTTTATATTACAATTATATCAACTGCCTGATGAGACACTTGTATACTTATTTTCAGTATGTGACAGCAAAAGATACTTCTGAGTAGGGGATAAAGATAAGTTGCGAAGGAAGCATATTTTTGTGATCACCTAAATTTTTGAAACATCTGTCGCACTACCATCTGAGTGTATTTCCAGGATTCAAGGAAATTTGGCTAGTATTTTAACTTTTTTTTACCAGTTTCCTCAATTAACTCTGATAACCGTGATATGACCTACATTTAAATACAAACCATATGACCTAATTTTACCTACGAACTGAGATAGCAAAGTCAGAGATCTGTTTGACAAATTCAGAATAGATTGATATAGATTCTAACAAACCACCCTGTAGATTGAGATATTTATCCACTCACGAGCTAAATTTGGAAAAATGAACTACTGTAAATTCAGAAATTTTACGATGTTAATATTAATGTGAAATATGTGATAGTATCAAGTTCGCATTAATAAATGTACGCATTAATCTCTGAATTTACAGTATTGAAAATTGAGAAATATTGTGGTTAACAGGGTTAAGTGGTAACCACAGGGTTAAGTGGTAGAATCGGTTTCTCTGATGATTAAATGGAAAATGCTGTGTAATTTTCCAAATGAATTTGGCAGGAAATTGCACATTTTATAAACATGTGGTTTACAAAAAATTATCAAACTGGTCTTTATCGGTTTAAACGCATACCAAATTAGAGAAACAATATTATGGAGATATGTCTTGCATGTGAAGCCTAATCACAAACTGAAATAATTGTTGATGCATACCGACGCAGGAAATAGCACACTTATGACTCACGATGACCAACTCTGTCTTATTAGTCCACCTAGAGATGACCAACCACCCAGACAACTCTACTATCAAGGATTTATATCAAATCAGATATTAATACAGACAAATTTTATAAGAAATATGATTTTATTTTCATGAAGAGCACAGCATCTCTAAGAATTATCCTAAAATGTAATGTTTTTTTTAAATTGTTGTATGCACAAATCATCAACTGTACACAAATGAAATAAACATAATACTAAAATCACTTGATAAACAATTCACCAAATGTATAACAATATTATATGAATGTCAACCATTCGATGATCAATTAAATGGAAAGCAATATGGTCTTAATGCATCTATACAGACAATAGTTGAACACTGATCAATCAGTGTTCAAATTATAAAACATCTCTTTCATACATTTATATGAAGCAAAAAAATCATCATTGTGTAACTATTTGCAGCTTTAATGAATGGCTTTCAATAAAAATTTAAAACCTATCAGAAAATTGACAGATGACTGACACTTTATATCATTGATTTTATCCATAATTATGTTAGCTTTTTCGGTCTTTAACAGTCTGGTAAGGTCAGAAATCTCAACATATGTTCACAATTAATCAAATGGAGGTTATATTGGGTGCATAAATCTTGATCTTCATTGACTGTTTACTAAAATGTTCATTTCTTATTTATTAGAGGCTCTGCTTAGTTATAAACAAACCATAAATCCCCCCTTTTCTGATGAAGATTTTATATGTTCCTTATTTCAACATCATTTGAAGCATCTAAAGATAACAGACCTCTTCTATGAAAACATATACTATATTATGCTATAAAATTGCATTCCTTGTAGCAAAGTTCAAAATGCTCATAAAATTATGCAGCAAAGAGAAACCCTATAGAAACTTGGTTGTTTAATTTCTGGTTTGCCTTTAATTTGTTTCAATTTTACAAATTTGATCCACAGAGTAACATCGTAATCAACAAAATCAATATTTATTAAAATGGTCAGCGACATTTTACTGAAAATCTAATATAAATGCATTATGAAGTAAACAGTGTTAATAAATACAAACATTTTAGACACTACAAAATGTATTTTTATAAACCACAAAAAAGAATATAAATGATATTAAAATAGCAATGTTGTAGCATTTCACATTTAAAATGGCCAAGATAAAAAAGTAAAGATTAATTAAAACTTTTATCTAAGGAATGTTTCCATCTGCAAATGAAAAGTTAGGCAGAAAATGTGTAATCAAAATAACAGTTTTTTTTTTAAAAGAAACAGATTTTGCTGGAAAATTAGGCTTCCTTAAACATGAGTTGATATATATCACTTATCTACATTATAGATTTAAATCATTTGTAACAAAAGAAATATGATATTCATTGACAGTCACGATTCCAATATTTGGTCACAGTACACACCTTCCTTACATGTGTGTCCAACAAAAACACTATTATGTATTGCACCAAAGTTAATCTGTGTCAGCCTTCACTGAAACAGAGATTCTACGGCATCAACAAACAATATAAATTACAATTTCAGTTGTACGTCCACCATTCACCATCCAAACTACATCAACGCAATCATACTTTTACATATCTTAATATGGCAAAGAACATTCTTTAACTTTTACATCGAGATTAAGTATTTTGTAAATAAATTTTCAAATGATGAGAGAGTTGAATTATATTTCCAGTGCATGAATTATTCCATTAACAATGATGGAAATATAATAAAGTGGACAGTTCATTTCATCTTTCTTTGATTGTCATCTTATTGAAGAGGTTATAAAATAACTTTGACAAACAAAAATCTGTTAAACTGGATCTACAGAATGCCAGTGGAAGGACCAGAAAAACACAAAAGCAAACCATTGCACTAAATAAGAACAATACAAATTCTCCTTAGGCTGCTGTTATTAGTTTTTATCTGCTAAATATATATTCTTCATTTATAATACATCTGAGTCAAATATTAGAAATCTGACATTTTGTAGTTCAATTATTTTACTGTAAAAATAGTATAACATAAAAAAACTTTGCAATACATTATTAATCGTGCTTTCAATCAACATGTTATAACATCACATATATAGACAAGTAGCGTAATTAATGGAATAATATGAGATCCATAAATAGCTGCTAATAAGACATAAAATTTAACAATCATATCAACTTCCATAACAAATATTCAATAGATTGCAGTATGTTAAAATTTTTTCTTCAGAATATTTATACATTAGTGACACCTAGGCTCGCTTCAACACCAAATACTCCAATCATTGCTCAAATCTCTTTATCTCTATGGTACACATTTTCATTTCGAAAAAAAATTATGAAAATATCTAAAACAATGAAAAAGGTACAGGCTTAAGTTACAACTCAATAAAAATGTTTTTTTTTTATTTAAGTAAAACTTCACACATACTTCTCACTGAGAGTTGCTATTTTCATGCATTCACCAAAAAATATATATGACATATTTTACATTCATGCACTCTGAAGAAGCTATGCTTGATACTTGCATTCTATGTTATCAAAACATCCACTTTCTTAGTGTTCTTGGAACTTTCCATTAAGTTTACAGAAGTAAACACATGGCTTATAACAGGAAAGATTATATCATAAGTTTATCTTATCAATTTTCAATAGAACAACAGCAGTCAAAATTGTTTATTAGGTTACAAAAACTTTTTTTTAACAAAATATGATCTTCTAAATACAACTCTAATCATGCAGGACTATGAAGACTTCAAAGAATAACATTTAAACTGTTAAAATGTATATATTTTTGTGTTAGAAACAGAAGGCACAACTAAAGTAAAAGAGAATAATAAAAGATAGTAGATTCATCTACCATATGATTCACAAAATTGATGAAATGTGGAAATAATTTCAAAGTATGACCCAGCTGATAACAAAATTATTGTCTTCCTTACACTTCACTAACATTCAAAAAATTATTGAAATTTCATTTGAAAAAGTTTGTCAACTTCAAGTCTTTTTATCTTACTGGTAAATGAATGGTCTTCTGATATAATGTTGGTTAATGATAGTGTCTAACTCAGATGTATGAAGGTGACCTATTCCCACCATGTGTCCACTCCTGTAAATGCTTTAAACATTTTTCTTACATAGTCTTGATGAAAAAACATTCTATACAAACTTTCAAAATAGTAAAAATGTGTAAGTACAACACGGATCATTTAATACGGAATGACTATAAATGTCCAATTGTATGGCCATGGATCAAGAAATACTACAGTTCTATAATGGCTGTCCACACATACTTTTAATTAAAGATGAGATATTCTAATGATATTGGCACAAACTTTTTTTTTTTAAATTTGATTTTTGAAACTTTTGGAACATTCTACATCAATACATCATGGCCCCCTTTTTATATCAATACAACAAAACTTCAATTTATTTCAATTGTATAATATCTAAAGTCACCAACTCATTGTAAAGATATGTTTCTAGATCAATTTTTAGTGCTGATGAGAACTAGTTCCTTTAAAGTGTGGTCCTTGTATTGGAAAAATTGTGAAAATGAACTTCCTATCAATGCTCCCAATCATTTTAAAAAAGCTTTTAACTAGTTTCAAAATTGTACAAAATCTTCAAAATTTGTAACATTGACAACCTTAGAAAATTTTACTGAAATCTATTCATTAAATCTTTCATTTCAAATAGGATTTAAAGCACTGAATATTTAAAGTCTTAATGATTTAATGTTTGATTAGCACTTTATTCTGTGAAAAAAATATCAATCACGCTTTGTACATAATCGGATCTGATGTGAGCTTACAAGGTCACACATAACAAAATCACACCCCATTAAAAGAAGATAAGCTGATAAATGCTTTAATTAAAAGTTTTCAGTGAGGTAGCAAAACTGCAACCACAAGTTTTGAGCATTACAAGTAAGAATGATTAGCTATTCCCTGGAGTGTAATGATGGTTGGATGTCCAGTGTCAAATGTTGGTACATCCTCTTCACAATACAATGGAACTGTATCTATTTCTTGGTCCAGGCCCATGTGTCATTTGCGACTTTTTACTCCTCTCTTTTTTACTTTTTTCTTGTTTGTGAAACAACAGCATCTGTATCAAAGAGATACAATAAAAGCAGTCTTTTTTTATTTCTGACATTTTATAGTATTTTGGGGGAATTTCTTAACACTAATAACAAAAAAGTTTACCTACATATATGTTTATAATATATCAATAGTAAAAATTTCTGCATATTTGTTTCATAGCCCATCAAGAAATTGTATAATGAGCAATGAAATGAATAATGTTCCCAAGCTTTACTTGACTTTTAACTCCCTCTTTTCTCATTACATAAGTTACAACCCTGTCAAGCAGTAGCAGTTATTTCCCTAGAGGATAAGTTAAATAATATATTTAAAAAAATCTGCCTGTAATTAAAAAAAAAAATATCATCATTGAAATTGTGAATTTAAAATACAGAATTAAATACCTTCGCAGAAAATACACATTGTAAAACATGTTCTCCACCCAAAAACAAAGGAAACAATTCCGTAATGAAAGGAAGTAACTGCATACATGAGAAAAGAGGAAATTCAAAAGGCTGAACTTCATTTTTTGAGGCTTTCATGTAACAGCCTTAATGGTGATTAATGAATTCTGTAAGAGACAGCTTGTAATTTTTCAGCCATTTTGATAAAAAAACATTTACAACTGAAACTTTCTTCTATGTAATTTTAATAAACTCTTAAAATCCATATCACACATCAAACTTTCAATATAAAAAGAGCTATAAGTGCTATCTGCATACAAGCTGTAACATTTTGAAATAATGTATCAATAATCAAAATTAATATGTGGCAAAAACACTTTATTACTACCCAAAACCCCTTAAGTGTGGTCTTATGTTTCAATAATAAGAGAAAATAAATGATAAGCACTATAAAATGCTGAACAACAATATGATTGACAGTAAAGCTTGAGTTTATCACAATGATACAGATCTCTGTCAGCATTTATATAAGTCATGGACAGCCATGTTTGTTTGTTTATGTATGTCTTTATCGTCGACTCTTCTTTTTCTTTCTCCGTCTGAAGAAGCAGCACCTGAAAGCAGTAATAGTTGAAGCTATGCCATGTATGCGAGCACTTAACCAGTATCACAAATAATTTAATCAATTTTGATTTAGAAATTAAGGTGCCTCATACAGAGCTATTTATAAATATTACCATAACAGAATTATTGATGGTGGAAAGTTTACAGGATTCTATCAATATCATAAATTTTCATAAAAATGACTTCAATTTCAAAATCTCAAGCTGATTAACAAGGAGAAAGATGATAAACTGAATCATAAGAAATCATTACTCATGAGAATTTTAAATAATATTTTCTCTTGAATATGAATTTTTATACAGTAAAAATGTTTTTACAATTATTTGTTTGAAGTTTGTGAACATGTTATATCATTATTTCCTATATTCTTACAGTCATTGTTTTCACTTTGTATTTTCTTTAAATTTGAAATTGAGATTTTTAATTTGTGATAATTTCCTAGAATATTGAGATATCAATTTTCTTACATGTTTTTTCTCTAGGCATTTTGTGAAACTGTTACATCATTTGAAGTAATATTTAATTTGTTATTTCCAAGCCTTTTGTGGTATTTTTATCATGATCGTGCTATTCAATTTGTTTCTATTTTCAAGCCTGTTGTGGTATTATTACTGTGAATAGTGCTATTCAACTAGTTTCTATTTTCAAGCCTGTTGTGGTATTGTTACTGTGAATAGTGCTATTCAACTAGTTTCTATTTTCAAGCCTTTTGTGGTTTTGTTACTGTGAATAGTGCTATTCAATTTATTTCTATTTTCAAGCCTTTTGTGGTATTGTTACTGTGTATAGTGCTATTCAATTAATTGTCATTTCCTAGCATATGTGATAGTGCTATTCAATTTGTTATTTCCAAGTCTTTTGTTACATTGTTATTGTGATCATGTCATTTAATTTGCTGCTATTTCCAAGCCTTTTGTGGTATTGTTAATGTGATAGTGCTATTCATTCCTTTTGTTATTTCCAAGCCTTTTGACAGTTTTGTGCTATAGTTTTAGTGATAGATCTATTCAATCTGTTATTTCGAAGCTTTTTGTTCCTAGCATTTTGTATAATGGTTCCACAATGATGGTATTATTCAAAGTATGTTCATAGAATTTTTCTAAACAAAGAATGTATGTATATGCTCTGTCTTCATTTCTGTTTATCCTACATCTGACCTTGACTCTTTGGTGCTGTGTTTAGGTACTACTTACTTTGTTTCACTTTGATCTTCATCTCTCTGTCCCTGGTTGTTGAAAGGTGTGTTAGATTGAGCACCTGTAGGGTCATCAGGGGCAAGGTCTCCATTTGTTGAGTTCACCACCTGAAATGAAAAAATAAAAAAAACATGAAATTGAGCACCTTTATAAAAAATTAAATAATTAACTACCGGTAAGTCATCTACAACATTAAATATTGAAAATAAATATGCCATATACAGACTACACAGTACCTATAATTGTATAAAGAAATCATCTTCAAAAAGTTAATTTCATTCCATTGCAAAATGGTACATAATCACAATAAATTACACTTAAAAGAAATGTGAATCCTAAGTAAAAATGCTTTCAACAAGAACTGTCCCTGAACAACACAGGTGAATACTCTCATTTCATTATTTGAAGTTCAAAACTGGACCCTTTTAGCATGTTTAGCAAAATTTATCAATCCAAGTTTATATGAAGTATATGTACAGTGATATTCAAGAACCAAATCCAAAAATAAATTTATACTTTTCATTTTCAACATGTTTTCTGTTTTGTTTTTTGCAAGACAGATAAAATGTCAGAACAGATACTGATAATAGACAATTCCATATGATTGAATGCTACTCAATATCATTTCCTTACCATCAGTGGTTACCCTTCAAACCTGATCACAAACTTTAACATTTAAACTATGCAAATGTTTCAAAGTCAATGGATTATGACTTAGGGGATTAGGCTAATCTCCATGGAAATGAAATGTTTAAATGCTAATACAACTTCATACAAATTATTACTGACTTACAATAAGTGTATCTCTTAAACAAATACAATTTTTCTGTGGTTGACATGTGGTAAATAATTCATTAATCTTTTAAATACTTTCTTTTCTCTACTTTAAAAGTTATTAAATTTACATCAGCTCAATTGAAAATGGGTAAAATTAAAAGTATTGTCTCTGAAAGTCTTACAGATACTATCAATACAATATAAAGGGAAATTGTTTGATAACTATTACATGTATTAGAAATAGAAACTTTTATTACAAAGAACCTGCTGAAAATAAATTATCTGTCATCTGAAAAGAAAAATGCTGCCATATGTTGTGTGAATCATTTTAACAAATTCTAATTATTTATTACCATGTGTATCATTTAAGCCCAGTCAATGTGTAATTTTCACATTGTAAGTTATATTTTCACATGGAGTATATATATATGTACACATAATTATTTTCACATTCATATTCACATAATTGTGTGCTATTCAAATGCAGTCTACTTCCAGTAGTCATGTTGATTGTTTTAAAATATGAATGAAAGGAGATTTGGGCCATATGTTTCAATGAGAAAGAAACTAATAGACACAAAAGGCATCTAATTGTCAGAATACAGAATTCATTAACAGACATGTGCCTATACAATATGTGTAAATCACCCTGAGTCTATTATACTTGTGAATCAATATAACAAAGAAAAGCCATCCACACGAAATCCACCCTCCCACAAACAAAATAAACTGCTTCGCTGAGCGCAGCTGGATACGCCCGCAGAGGTCCAACCCTGAACAGTTGGGGCAAAAATGGACACAATATTCAAGCTTGATACAGGTCTGAATTTGGATTGTAATTTAATATTTGATATATTATAGGTTTCTGAATAAATGTAGACAAAGAACTTGAAATTGGTTATATGAAAGATTTCTTGCTGTTGCGCAATACACTGTGCTGTTGGGCAATACTTAGTAAATCTGTTGTCAGACTATAAACAAATAAAATCTTATAACTCTGAAATGTAAAATCGAAAATTTATAAAAATCAAAAGGGAGCTTACAAAAATAGATATAAACAATTTACCAAAGTCTCATAAAAAATGCTGAAAGCATTTTTGAGTTATTGTCCGAAAACTGGAAAATCCCCCTTTTTGTAATGAATAAAACCCCATAAATATATATTCTGAAATTTATAACAAGAGGCTCTCAAGAGCCTGAATCGCTTACCTGTTTTTTTTTTGCTTAAATCTTTCATCAATGATTATTTTTGCTTTTTACCCATATGTTCCATTTTAGCCATAGTGTCTATGTTTCTTGACGTACAAGGAAATGAAATACAAAATTTATACTAGATTCATTGAGAAGATTTTTAAAGTTAAAAAACATAAAATAACTTGTCTAAAATTGTCCTTAAAGGGCAATAACTCCTTAAGGGGTCAATTGACAATTTGGTCATATAACCTTTTTTGTAGATCTTACTTTGCTGAACATTTTTGCTGTTTACAGTTTATCTTTATCTTCAATAATATTCAAGATAATAACCAATAAAATGCTTCGCTGGGGCGCAGCTTGATACGACCGCAGAGGTCGAACCCTGAACAGTTGGGGCAAGTATGGACACAACATTCAAGCTTGATACAGCTCTGAATTTGGATTGTTATTAAATATTTGACACAGCATAGGTTTCTGACACAGAAAGAATGTGGTCTAAGAACTTGAATTTTTTTAATTTACCTATTATGGTCCAATGTCCAAAATCAAAATACATGGTTAGATTCAGCATATCAAAGAACCCCATATATTCAATTTTTGTTGAAATCAAACAAAGTTTAAATTTGGACCCCAACTTGGACCAACTTGAAAACTGGGCCCATAATAAAAAATCTAAACACATGTTTAGATTCAGCATATCAAAGAACCCCAAGAATTCAATTTTTGTTAAAATCAAACTAAGTTTAATTTTGGACCCTTTGGACCTTAATGTAGACCAATTTAAATAAAAACGGGACCCAAAATTAAAAATCTAAATACACGGTTAGATTTGGCATATCAAAGAACCCCAATAATTCAATTTTTGATGAAATCAAACGAAGTTTAATTTTGGACCCTTTTGACCTCAATATGAACCAATTTGATAGCGGGCCCACAAATAAAAAATCTAAATACATGGCAAGATTCAGCATATCAAAGAACCCCATATATTCAATTTTTGTTGAAATCAAACAAAGTTTAATTTTGGACCCCAATTTGGACCAACTTGAAAACTGGGCCAAAAATCTAAAATCTAAATACATGTTTAGATTCAGCATATCAAAGAACCCCATATATTCAATTTTTGTTGAAATCAAACAAAGTTTAAATACTGGACCCTATCTTGGACCAACTTGAAAACTGGGCCCATAATCAAAAATCTAAACACATGTTTAAATTCAGCATATCACAGAACCCCAAGAATTCAATTTTTGTTAAAATCAAACTAAGTTTAATTTTGGACCCTTTGGACCTTAATGTAGACCAATTTAAAAAAACGGGACCCAAAATTAAAAATCTAAATACACGGTTAGATTTGACATATCAAAGAACCCCAATAATTCAATTTTTGATGAAATCAAACTAAGTTTAAATACTGGACCCTATCTTGGACCAACTTGAAAACTGGGCCCTTAATCAAAAATCTAAACACATGTTTAGATTCAGCATATCACAGAACCCCAAGAATTCAATTTTTGTTAAAATCAAACTAAGTTTAATTTTGGACCCTTTTGACCTCAATATGAACCAATTTGATAGCAGGGTCCACAAATAAAAAATCTAAATACATGGTTAGATTCAGCATATCAAAGAACCCCATATATTCAATTCTTGTTGAAATCAAACAAAGTTTTATTTGGGCCCCAATTTGGACCAACTTGAAAACTGGGCCAAAAATCAAAAATCTAAATACATGTTAAGATTCAGCATATCAAAGAACCCCATATATTCATTTTTTGTTAAAATCAAACAAAGTTTAATTTTGGACCCTTTGGACCTTAATGAAGACCAATTTGAAAACTGGACCCAAAATTAAAAATCTAAATACATGGTTAGATTCAGCATAACAAATAATTAAATGTGGTCAAAGATTTTACAAATCTAATGCGCCATACTGTGCAATTAAAGATTACTTCTTGAAATTTTTCAATATTTGAAATTTGAAAAAAAAAAAATATTTGAAGAATAATTCTTTTTAATTTCTGAAATCTGAAATGAGAAAAAATTGACCCCCCACAATTTCTTTTTACCCCCCCCTTTTTTTCCCCCAAAAAAATTCTTTCCCTCAAGATATGGTCATAATCTCAATTCAAATTTCCAATGGAGTTTGCAACCATAATTACCCATTTAAATTTACCATAGTGCTAACTTAATCTATTTTATAATAGAATTTAAAATATAGTGTCAAATCTTGTATATGGATTTTTTTGTGAAAAAAAAAGATGCAACATTTGCAGATATTTTTACTGGTCTTCCTTTATAAATATGCATTTCTTTAAACATAATTTAAAAGCAGTGTAAGGGAAGTAACCAAAACGTTGTATTTGGATTACCTCCCTTAAACTGTTTTAAATTATCTTAATTGTTCATTAACCATTACTTTATACATAATTTAAAAGCAGTGTAAGGGAGACAATTTCAATGATGTATTTGATTTATCTCCCTTTCACTGCTTTAAATTATGTTTTGTACTAAAGTATTTGTCCATTAACCAGGACAACCTTGTTTTCCCCCCTTTTTTGCCCCTAATTCTGAAACGGTTTGAGCCATAACCCCCCAAAGCAAATCCTAACCATCCCTTTGTGGTATGGAAACTTGTAGTATAATTTCAGAGAGATCCATACACCATTCCAGTTATTGTCTGGAAACTAGAAAATGCTTATTTTTGGCCCCTTTTTGGCCCCTAATTCCTTAACTGTTGGTACCATAACCCCCAAAATCAATCCCCACCTTCCTTTTGTGGTATTGAACCTTATGGTAAAATTTCATAGAGATCCATTCACTTAAACTAAAGTTAGAGTGCGAAAACTAATGCGTCTTCAGACGCCGGAGACGACGCCAACGTCATACCAATATACGACCACAAAAATTTTTTTGCGGTCGTATAAAAACTGCAAAATTTCCTTAAAACAACCAATTTAGTGGCAGCAACCCAAGAATGGGTTGTTCGGTGTGTCTGAAAATTTCAGGGCTAATAGATCTTGACCTTTTGAACATTTTAACCCCATGTCAGATTTGCTCTAAATGCTTTAGTTTCTGAGATATAAGCCAAAAACTGCATTTCACCCCTATGTTCTATTTTTAGCCATGGCGGCCATGTTTGTCGATGGATCAAAACTTCGGATACAATTTATAAACAAGATACCCTAAGGAACATTTAGTTAAAGTTTGAAGGTATTTGGCCCAGTAGTTTCAGAGGAGAAGATTTTTGAAATAGTTTATGATGACAGACGACGACGGACGGCAAATGATGGCATAAGCTCACATGGGGCCCTTTGGGCCCCAGTGAGCTAAAAATCAAAAGGTAGCTCATGTCGATAGAAATAACCAATTCACCGAAGTTTCTTGCAAATTGGTGAAATTGTTTTTGAGTTATTGTCTGAAAACTGGAAAATCCCCCCTTTTTTAATGAATAATACCCTAAAACTCGGAAACGGTAAATCCGAAATTTATAAAAAACGAAAGGAGGCTCACGTCAATAGATAGGAACAATTTACAAAAGTTTCATGCAAATTGGTGAAATTTTTTTAGAGTTATTGTCCGAAAACTGGAAAATCCCCCCTTTTTTAATGAATAAAACCCCAAAACTTGGAAATGTTAAATCTGAAATTTATATAAAACAAAAGGGAGCTCACATCAATAGATATGAACAATTCACAAAAGTTTTATGCAAATTGGTGAAATTGTTTTAGAGTTATTGTCCGAAAACTGGAAAATTCCCCCCTTTTTTAATGAACAAAACCCCAAAACTCGGAAATGGCAAATCTGAAATTTATAAAAAACAAAAGGGAGCTCATGTCAATAGATATAAACAATTCACCAAAGTTTCATGCATATTGGTTAAAGCATTTTTGAATTAATGTGCGACATGTTGACGACGGACGGACGGACAGAAGGTCAGCGGTATACCATAATACCTCCCGTAAACGGGCGTATAAAAACCCAACAACATTATAATATAACTAAAATAAACCAGGGTCTAGACTTGGGACAGTAAAAGCTATTGAGGATTCATTTATTTTCATGGATACCAATTTTTGTGGTTTGACAAAAACTCATATTTATGTGGATATTCTGATTTTGTGGTTTAGCAAAAAGTCTTTACACTAGCTTTTAGAATATTTGTCATTTGTTTAACATTTAAATTTGTGGTTTATCTATTCTCACGAATTATAATGAATCCAAAGTGTATCTTTTCAATCTCAATCAGGGGATAAACCAAATTTACAATGACAAGATTGCATATGTCAAAATGTCTTTGACCATGAATGAATTTTATTTTAAAAGTCTTCTAGACCAAGGTCTTAGCAATAATCTATGAAAATAAGATCAAGGTCAGATGAACCCTGCCAGACATACATGTACACCTTACTATCATTCCTATAGTATCTGAGCACAAAAACTAAACACTGACCATCGAAACATGAAAATGAGGTCAAGGCCAGATGAACCCTGCTAGACATACATGTACACCTTACTATCATTCCTATAGTAATAAGTATCTGAGCACAAAAACTTAACATTGACCATCGAAACATGAAAATGAGGTCAAGGTCAGATGAACCCTGCCAGACATACATGTACACCTTACTATCATTCCTATAGTATCTGAGCACAAAAACTTAACATTGACCATCGATACATGAAAATGAGGTCAAAGTGAAATGAACTCCAACAGACATTTATATACACCTAACAATCATTCTATTCACCCAATATAGTTAACCTATTATCTGAGAAAATAACCTAATCATGTACGGTAAATTTAAATGTTGATCACTGAATCATGGAATGAGGTCATGGTCAGGTGAATCCCGCCTGACTGATATGTACACCTTGCAATGAATCTACATACCAAATATAGATAACAGAAACCTCAGGTGATACTATGTTTTTTTTTAAGTACCAGTAGTCATTGTACAATGAAAAAGAGGTAAAGGACAACTGACAGAAACCTGAGACTATAACACATCTGTAAACCAGATTGGGATTATCCATCTCTCATATCTATTGAAATATGAAGCTTTATACAAAGAGCTAATGCTCCTGATCGGTTAGCATCCCTTTGTCCTGCATTCTGCCAAATCTACTGTAAATTCAGAAATTATTGCGATGTTTTTATTATTGTGAAAAATGCGACAGAGGTATAATCGAATAATTTAAACTCGCATTTTGAATTTTTTTATATGAATTAAACAGGATTTTTCTCAATATCGCAAAAATTAAAATCGCATTTTAGTCTAAAATGACAAAATCGCAATAATAAATGCATGCAATAATTTCTGAATTTACAGTACTTCTATTTTGGGCCCTCAATGCTCTTCAACTAAAAATGTAAGTATTTCATTTGGCCTTAACTTTTTTTGATTTGAGCATCCCTGATGTCTTTTGTAGACGAAACGCACTTCTGGCGTACAAAATTTTAATTTAATTGTCCTAATTATGTTGATGTTATAACCTTTAAGTAAAAATGAATGACATAAAAGCCATACACATTGTTGGATTCATGATTATTTTCTTTGCTACTTATAGACCTGAAAGATAAAAACTGTAAAAATTAACCTTACAAGCCTTATGGGGTCAATCTTAATTTGTGAGCATTTGTTTTGATACAAGTAAGAAATTCCTAGCATTATATTGAATATTTGATTGTTAAGTACCTTTGATGATGTCTAGCTTTATATATATATATGTAAGATTTGGGTATATATTCAAGGGTATAAAGATAGGTTTTAATATGACGTAATTGGAGTTTAAGTTAGTTCCCTTGGACACCATTTGGGAGGGGTAAATGGTTGATTTGCCTATTTGACTAACCAAATTGAATCATGCAGCAAAAACAAGTTTGATAAAAGATCCTTACTAAATCATAGTGATGAATCAAGAAAGGCTAAAAGAAATTAGACAACTTTTTCTCAAGTCTAGCGGTCAGTGTAACAAGTTGAATTTTTGGCTGATTTATGAATGAATTTGTGCACTAAGACCTCCACAATGGGAATGGAGACAAAAGGAGAGTCTCTTACTCAAATTATGTCAATCAAAACCTATCTATACAAGAACTAGTGAGTGGTTTATAGGTCTGTGTATGGAATCCTTCTTTAATTAGTCAATGTGTACTGCACTATCAAGGGAGACAATTTAGTACTGCTGTCAATTTTGCAATTTAAAATACAATTTCAGTGTAAAAGAATGGCTACATAGAACACACCAAACAAAAATAAAGCAAGCCATCAGCATATATTTCCAGAGTTATCAGTACTATGATTTCATAAAATTTGAGTATTAACATATATAAATCCTTGGCAGCTTGAATATTTATAACAACACTGGATAATGGGAATCAACCAAGATTGACTGGTCTTCAGTTCAATCTGAAAAATTTGTAGTTATCAAATAACCTTAATCATTCAAGCAATTTTAAATTTTCAATTAATTACAACCAGGAAGCAAGTTAAAAAATTTGTTCATAACAAGTGAAACACACTAGAGCTAAGCTGATCATGGTATTTGTAAATTAAACAGACAATAAAGCAGACAAATAGGTAATGATAGTTCTGTTAGGTCAATATATTTATAAAGTGCATAAAGTTAAAAATGTAGTTGAGTATGCAGAAGTGCAGGATAAATTTCCATTGTGTCAGTGAGATTACATATCAATCAATCATCACACAATTTTTGACAGTGCAATCAGACACTGATAAGGACAGATAAACAAAGAGTCACATGACAATTAAAATGGTAGAAAACAAGATCTGGAATAGCTGCCTTACCTGATTTCTCATTCGTAAGTCTCGTTTTTCTGGAATCTAAGAACGAGTCACACATTAAGCAAGCAAAAAATTTTCACCATATCACCAGGACATGCAACAGAGGGGGGATTTCTACGATCTTGAAATATTACCTAAAGACAAAAGGCTTATTCTCTTTTAAAGTTGATTTAAAGCTACTATTTGTGATCATTATAACCTTTCTTTAGTTTAAGAACACTTTACAAAAGGGTCCTTAATTTTTTTTTATATCTTTTCACTAAATTTTTCAAAAGTATTATATTTTGGTAAGATTCCATTTCCAGAACATATAAAACTAAAATTAAAATGACCACTACATAAAATATATTCTAGTGTAAAGAAAGATTAGATAACCTATACCTTTAATGGGGCAAAAATTACCATTAAAATGTGCATTAAGCAAATAAAATAAATGTTGGTACAAGTTTTTCTTTGCATGAAAACTATTTCTAATTACAAATCATGATATATTCAGGGTGAATGATGTATTTGCCAGATTTGATTGATACAAGTAATATTTTAAGATCTATTGACAAGACTACAAGACAACATGGCAATTTCATACAAGAAAAAAAAGTGGAAAATAAATTAGCGAAAAAGAGGCGACGACCAAAATTATGTAGTAAGGATATGCATACCTGTACAGATCCCCCTAGTCTATCGGCAGCAAGGTTGGCACCCAGATAATTTCCGGTGTGCCGGGGTTCACCCCATGCGTTACCAGATTGATATGTATTTGTCTGAAAGGCAAATTAGTTGAGGATCTGAGTTACACAGAATACAATGCCCACAACCACTGGAAGAGCTATCAATTTAACCATCATCAACACACTTAAGGGATAGGTGTCAACACTAGGCTCAATATAATTCAATTGATCTTGTAAAAATCTCCTGATCAGCTGTCCATGTCCAGACAGATTACACAATGTTTTATGGAGAAAATATTAACTTGGGCACTGAAAAACCATTCCCTCATCAATCAAAATGTTTATTTTGATATGAAAATTGATAGGGATCATCTTTTCATCAGGACATCAACAAATTTGTTTAAATTTGTTTAAGGGGTTTAGTCTGTAATGCATTGACTAGGATTTTGACATTGACCTCAGCTAGACCATTGACTCAGATAGACCTTTGATCTCTGACCATGAAAATCAACAGGGATAACCTTCATTTATCTTGTTGTGTGAGTATAATATTCCTAGAAAAATATAAAATTAATTGTTTCTATTTAGTTGAAAAGGTTGTTGTTACCCAGCTGGCAAAAACTATTACTATATTCCATTTTGTAATCTAGATAAATGAAGATTACTAAGTGAATTTTTAATGCTTTGTGATCTTTTGGCTATATCTGATGACATAATTCAATGACTATAGTCAGAACTTAAGGACTGATTATCACTTTCCTCAAATTGGTTTCAAGTAACAGTATTCATAAAATGTATGTGCTACTATCCAATGTGTAATTCTTAGAGACTGTATGCTTTAAAATCAAGATTTCATTACATTAATAAACAATGGGTCAATTTGGTTCAAACAATATCACGGTTTCTTTGAAAGCTCTTCCAAAGGATTAAAATGTTGATATAAATGCTCATATACAACACCTACGGTATACAAAAAAATATAATTTCTTTTGACATCTCTTTTTTGTTATGACAAGAAATTCACTCTAACACACAGTACACACTTGAGATCTATCTATACACACTTTAAAAAGTTCATTAAAACTTCCTTTCACATATATTGATGGCAAATTGGTAAGACTTTTTAGTGCAATATGTTTATGTTTTGTCAATAATGCTTAATAATCAAAATCTACTTTACCAGCGGTCACATGGCAGTCATGTGAATAGCTAAGGAAGGTTGAATGAACTAATGACTGAAGTATACTATTCACTCTTTGTAAAATTGGCAGATCCAAGAAGATGATTGAAAAAAGAAAATAGGAATTTCAGTTTGAAGGCAAATCTAAGCATCTTTTTCTCTGGTCTTGTCATTGCCTTGTACAATGTAGGAAGGGAGTCCACCTGAATCCGCCACTGTCGTTGGAATAATTTGACATGGATTCTAACTTTTGTTTTAAGGAAATTTTTTGATATGATCGACTAAAGAGGTAATGTTATGAACAGTAAGAGATGTATATGTAGGAAGATGTCCAATCTATGAGGATAATAATACAGAATGCTACAGATGAATACTATTTTTTGCTGTGAAAGAGAAGCAAGAGATATACGATATATTCCTTGCTTTGTTATAATCTATGTTTTCATGTGTCCTATGAAGTTGTTTATGCAACATTAATTACAAGTGTATATATGTATGTAGGTTTTTATAACGACACTGATTTTTATCTGGTTAGTAACAGTGAAGGTTAGTAAAATAATAATTCTGCAAGACTGAGGAACTTGTTCTAGATCTCATATCCAAAAACCTGCAATGAAGTATTCACTAAAAAGATTTCATTGTTCTTTCTTCTCTGCAAATGCTGAAAATACTTCAAATTCTTTATATTTTCCGAAACCAATAAATCTTAAGATATCTTTGTGCAAAACTGTAGAATCGAATAGGTAAAGACATGTGTATTGAGTTACATTGTTACCCAGTTTACCATGAAGAACTCAGCAAACACTGTCACATTGTACTGTACATAAACATTGTTTATATATAAGTGTCATAAATAATTTTCTAAATGGTAAGATCAATGCTTTTTAATCTTAATAAAATAATAAAAAGCATTCAGTTTCAATGTAATGCATGATCAAAGCTGTAACTTTCTTAAAAATATCCTACCATGAATCAAATGATTTTTCAAAAATGTATAAAAAGACCAAGTAGAAACAATTGTTTAACACTTGAGCTGAAAACAGAAACAGCATTTGTTCATCTGTATTTTTGGGGTGTTTTTTTTAAATGTCCGACTTTCAAGTGAAACAAGAATTCTTATAAACTTTTCAATCAACATGATATCAGATTTTGAAATTTTTTATTAACAAGCATTCTGAGAGTATTGCATGGCAATACATAGTCCCCTACCAGTTAGAAATTCATTGTATTGGAACAAAATGCTATCCTGATCTATAACTTGTCATGGTGTTAACTATATACCAATTATCAAATCAATATCTTCAAGCATGACGAAAAAAAAAGGGCGGAAAACTGATTATTCAAGTGAATTTTCAAAGTCCAAGGACCATAACTGCACAAAATCATCAGACCGGAACAAAATTCGAACTTAATCTATAACTTGTCATGATAACAAATATCAAATCGATATCTTCAAGCATGACGAAAAAAAGTGCAGAAAACTGATTATTTGAGTGAATTTTCTATGTTCAAGGACCATAACTCTGCACAAAATCATCAGACAGGAACAAAATTCAAACTTGATCTGTAACTTGTCATGATAAAACTATATACCAATTATCAAATCAATACCTTCAAGCATGACGAAAAAAAGTGCAGAAAACTGATTATTTGAGTGAATTTTCTAAGTCCAAGGACCATAACTCTGCACAAAATCATCAGCAATATGGGAAGTATTTCAAATTTGAACATAATACACAGAAATGCATAAAATCAAGAAATATGCCAGTGAATGAATTGCACAAGACACCTCTTATCTTAGTACATACATAAAATATGGTAATGTGGTATGATTGCCAATGAGATTACTATCCAACAGAGTCCAAATGAAGCAGATTTAAACAACTTTATATGTATGGATGTATGGTTACTTTTAAATTTGCACTAATATTTGGGCCAAATATGAGCCTTATTTCCCATACTCTTTTTGTCTTGCCATTCTCTAAACAGAGGTATCAGACTTAATGTCCCCATTTTGATGAGACAGGTACTAAGATAATATCATGACATTCATAATTTGGTTTTCTTTCAATCTGGTCTTCTTTTCACTAGGGATGCATTTCTAATAAAACTCATTTAAAATAAATGGGGAATGTGTCCATTGGACACAGATGATGGCCCTGCTTGCATATCATATAAAGTTATAAAGGGACATAACTGAAGAACGGTAAAAGTGACACTACCCAAATTTGTACTTGATTTGAGTTTTGTGGTAATAAGCATTGTGTGTAAGTTTCATAACATTTGGATGAGGCAAACTAAAGTTAGAGAACAGAAACGAAAAATTCAGCAATTTTTATGTAAAGAAAGGGGGATAACTCAAGAACGGTAAAAGTGACGCCACCCAATTTCAAACTTGATCTGTATTTTATAGTAATAAACATTGTGTATAAGTTTCATAACATTTGGTAGAGGCAAACTAAAGTTAGAGAACAGAAACCAACTTTGGGACGTACAGACGAACGGACGGATAAGGGTAAAACTTAATACCCCCTCCGCTACGGCGGGGGCATAAAAATCCTCTCTAGGCCTTGCAATTATCCCCCGTTGTTATTTTGTGAAGAAAAAAATAAATTCTGAAAACAGATTTAGGAAATAACCACAGAGAGAAATTCTGCTCTTCAATTATTGTACAGAGAACCTAATATGCCTATAAGATAAGATTCATTAAAATTAATTTTCATAGTTTTAACTGTTTTACAATTATTAGTAATGATCTCACATAAGATTTCTATGTACAACTTCACGACAGCAGTGTAATTCTTGATCTGTAGAAGATAGAGAAAAGACAAAGATGAGTGAAGAATTACCAAGCACCTTTATTAATAGGTAAATACACATTTACTTAGGGAGGAGTGTGATAGTAGTATTCTGCTATAATGAAGTTAAAACATAGTTAACAGTACAGTACAATGCAACATTGATCCTTTTTAGTGATGTGGTATTTACCTTGTTTGGCCTCACCTTAGCAGGTTCTTCTTTTGGTGCTGATGTGTCTGATGGGGTTGGCTACAAAATATAAAATTTATAAGTAATTGACAGAAAATTATTCCTTCTTTGTCAAAACTCTATGTGTCCCACTAATAGTTTGATTGGGTTTAAGAATTTTTAATGTATTATACATGCATGAAGGTAATTATATTAATGGATGAGACTAAACTTCCATATTACAGTTAACTATTTACACAGATATGTCTCGCCTTTTTGTTATTTTGATAGTAAAACTTTAACAAGTAAGTTATGCAAAATATTCGATGAAGTCGATGAACCATGACTGAAGGTACAAGGCCAAACAATCGCCATGGATATGAGATGTGCCAATGCTAAAACAACTGCATAACAAATATCATTGACCTACCACTAGTGGTTCCCCCATTTAACTGACCTAATCACAAACTAATACATGTATGTAAACTAAGCAAAAGTTTCAAAGTCAATAGACCATGACTTAGGGGGCAGTGCCAAATAATCTCCATAAAAATTCAAAATTCAAATGTTAATACAACTGCATACCAAATATTATTGACCTACCAGTAGTGGTTCCTCATAACCATGATAACTGCATACCAAATATTATTGACCTACCACTAGTGGTTCCCCATGACCGGACCGAATTACAAACTAATACATGTAAACTAAGAAAACGTTTCAATGTCAATAGACCATGACTGACAGGCGGGGCCAAATAGTCTCCATGGAATTGAGATGTGCCAATGTTAACACAACTGCATACCAAATATCATTAACCTACTAGTTTTTCCCATAAACTGACCTAATTACAAACTAATACATTGGTGACACTGACGCCGCAAACAGCATACCTATATCTCGCTTTTCGACATCGTCAAGGCGAGACAAAAAGCAGAATACTAACTACTTACAATGTTTTTAAAACTTTTGTCAACAGCCAATATAGAATTTAAGTTTACCCTGTTACTATAAATGATACTTAAAAAAGTTCCCAAATGCAAGTATGCTTATTGATATTAAGGGAGAGACCACTGAGCCTACATACAACACGCTCAGTATTAAATATAAAACTTTATTTGTATTTTTAGATTGGAAGATTAAAACAAATTGCAATGTACTAATATATGTATTATTCTATATTACTACTGCTAAACATTATACATTTAATAAATATGTCTATCAAACAGAATAATAAGTACACTGTATATAGAATTAGATGATGATAAGGTTGCCTTGTGAAAAGTCATTATTTGTGGATGACAACTTTCATTGTTTGCTTCACTGTTAGTTAAGTGTTGGAGAATTTAAGACAATCATAAAACTATGAAAATTGGTTCTCCACAAATAATTTCTTACAGAGTATCTGCTTAAGATATTTTGTTTATCTTGTGTAATACAAATCCCAAATTGCCAAATTTGTATGTCTCTGATATTGTTCATATGATATAGGTATGGCTATTTTAGTCACAAAACAACAATAATTTTTGTGTTTTAGGATGTCTTTTTGTAAAATTTAATTAATGAAGCTTTAAAATTTTCATTAATAGATTTCAGAATATGACTCAAATATGTAAAATAACTTCTTGGGGAAAAATATTGCCTCTACCAAACCGTGTAGAACTTTAAGAATCTGTTCTAATGACCAGTTACTAAGTTAAAACCATAATCTTTTTTTCCAAAAAATATTTCAAAATGAAAAGATGCATTCCTGCTACATCATGTACATCTTAATGCATAAGTAGTTTTGTTTGAAAATTGGTTCTGAATATCACTATGACTACAAAAAAGTTGTTCACATAAAGCACCTGATTAATTAATAAATTGTTTATATAATTATCATTACATTTGTCATCCCGTACTCCTTAATTTTGTCCTAAAAAAAGGGATAAAAAATATTTAATAACTATATCACATAAAAAAGTTCACTTTACAAATGTAGCAACAGCTTTTTGTATAAGAATGAGTCTGAAAATATGGCAAAAGTCAGCAAATGGTCAGTATACTGCTTTAAAACTTTGAGATGACAGGCTATATTGAGAGATTTTGCATACAACTTTTCAACTTTCAATTAAACCTATGCAAGACAATTTGGCCTTTTAACCGCTTAAGAACCAATGACTTTTCAAGTTGCTGTATAAATCATTTCCCAAATTATCAACTGGTGAAAAATTTAACCCCATTTTAACAGAGCATTGTATTTAGAATAAATCATATGTGGTATAGTAAAAATAATAAGAAAAATCTCAGTGTCGGATGATAGAATTTTTCATATGCAAATTGAAAAAGTAAAACAGCTCAGTTTGACTATCATATGAAATTGTCTATCATAATGAAATTTTCCAATTCATTTGTTAGAAACAACTTATTAATAATGATTAATGCTGTTTTGTTTATCCAATTTTCTACAGAAAATCATGGGAAAGTGGATGGGAGGAATTTTTAATTTAACAGGTTGTTGCTAACATATATCAGTTTCTAATAGGTTTAAATTTATTACCATGTTACCAATATGAACTAAACAATTCTATATACAGCTTGAAAAGTATTTTGTAAAATGATCTGAAAGGCACAAATCTCTTGGATAAGCACTGAAAATTGAAAAATGTGTTGCATTGCAAAATACCTCATTCATGTATATATAGAAACATAAGGGAAGAGCAATTTTTAAAATCAAATGAAGATCTGGACAAAATGCCCATTAAATTGATGAAAATTCATTAAAAAAAACCTAATTTCTTCTAAGACATTTTTTTTCAAAGTCTGTTCTTTATCTGGACAATATATTATTTGTCTTTGTACATATACTTTTTTTCATGGTGTTGGGATGTAGGCGTGACCTGTTGTATTATTGGTAATTCCTGTGATCCCTTTTATGTATTCTTTTATAAATGTTATCATTTTGAAGGATTATTTTTCAAGACATTTTATACTTTCCCCAATGCATTCGTAGTCAACTGCAATATAGTGTGCATGTATGTGTGAATTTGCTAAATGCTCTTCCAATTCTGGCATATAAATTACAAAGAACAGAATTAAGTTTGTAAAAAAATTGTGTATTCCTTATTGTCTACTTCATTACTTATCTCACCCAAGCAAGTTCTGAACAATAGAACTTGCAATTTTCAAATGGCACAAGTTTTCTTTGTGTCAAGAACATTTTCTTAATCACGAAATCAGGTTATCCAATACTTATCACCAAGGCATGAGGTAATAAGATTTTCACTATACTTATCATCTAAGTATGAGGTAATAAGATTTTCACTAGCTTCAATTGAATTCACATTCATATAAAGAAAGATTAAGTGACCGAATCACTTTCCACAAAATATAAGAATGATCACCTGTCTTCCAGTCCAATCATATTCCCAATCTAAATTATAATTCATTTTTTCCATTAGGTCGGTGAACAACTTCCGCAAGTAATCATAATCTGGCGTTTCAAAAAAATCCAACCGTCGTACATATCTTAAATATGTGGCAAGTTCATCTGCAATTAAGAAAAGCATATAAAATAAAAATTTCTTTAGCACAAAACAAATTACTTTACCTATTCATTAAAGACCTAATTTCTTATTAAGTCATATTACTCTATGGAAAGACAGAAATTGAATTGTAATATAACATATATTTATCTAGCAATAGGGAATAATTATGCAGAAATCTGGTTGTATTCAACTATGGTACTTATGAACACAAAATGCCATTTTTCTGTCAAAAATTATACAAGTACAATGTATAATGAACACGCTCGAATATAAAGACACACTTTTTTTATACTAGATTAGTCATAAAAAATATCATCCAATTTAAAAAATAAATAAATGGGGAATTTGTCCATTTGACACAGATGATGCCCCCACATATAACGTTATAAAGGGACATAACTCAAGAATGGTAAAAGTGACGCAACCCAAATTTGTACTTGATCTGAGTTTTATGGTAATACGCATTGTGCATAAGTTTCATAACATTTGGTTGAGGCACACTTAAGTTAGAGAACGGAAACCAATTTCAGGACATACAGACAGATGTACAGAGGTAAAACTTAATGGCCCCTCAGTTACGGCGGGGGCATAAAAAAAACCAATAACACACTGTACAGATTTAGTTATTTATTTTCTTAAGTCATTCTAATTTGCTTATGTTCTAACATACCATTCTTAAATTACTCGTTAATAAATTAAGGAGAAACTAAGGTTCCAGTTACTTCAGTTAAAGTTAACCTTAGATGAATTTAGATATTGTTTTTTTGGTCTCTTGTGGTCATATACGGAGCTCCTAACATTTTTACATATTAACACATCCCTTGTGGTCATATATGGAGCTCCTAACATTTCTACATATTAACACATCCCTTGTGGTCATTTATGGAGCTCCTAACATTTCTACATATTAACACATCCCTTGTGGTCATTTATGGAGCTCCTAACATTTCTACATATTAACACATCCCTTGTGGTCATTTATGGAGCTCCTAACATTTCTACGTATTAACACATCCCTTGTGGTCATTTATGGAGCTCCTAACATTTCTACGTATTAACACATCCCTTGTGGTCATATATGGGGCTCTAACATTTCTACGTATTAACACATCCCTTGTGGTCATATATGGAGCTCCTAACATTTCTACGTATTAACACATCCCTTGTGGTCATTTATGGAGCTCCTATTATTTCTACATATTAACACATCCCTTGTGGTCATATATGGGGCTCCTAACATTTCTACATATAAACACATCCCTGGCTTCCAAATTTTTAGGTTCGAGTGTTCCTGATGTAGGTAATTCAAGCACTTCAGACACACAAAATTTATAACATATCATTTTCTTTTACTAGCACTGGGTCAACACTACTGTTTCCCCATGAGTTTCATTGGTTCAGTAGTCAGTGCTTCCGTACTGACATGATTTATAACATCCCATTCTAAAATTTCCCATTCATAAATTAAGAAACTAAAGGTTCCAACTCCCCCCTCAGGCAAAGTTGATCTTAGATGAATTTGGTGTTTCTGCGTTTTTACACATCCCTTGTTTTCAAATGTTAAGGTTTCAGTGTTCTTGAAGGTAAATTTCAACTTTCTTTGTTGGGGGTATAAAAATCTGCAACAGAATGTAGGAATTTGACAGATAGCAGAAATGATCAGTGATGAGCTGCTGACTGAAGTCATTCTGTTCAGAAGTACATGAGAAAAGTGTGACGAAATAAAAAATTTAAATCAACTCAATATCAGCTAATAAGATGTATGTGTCTGTCAGATCATGTTACCATTCATCACTGCTAAAATCATGACCAAATATTACATCATTTTGTTCAGAAGTTCCCAAGAAAAGTGTTATGGAAATATTTGTAGGTCAAACAGACACATGGATGGAAGGACAGACACTGTGAATGCAATGTAGTGTATAATAAAATTACAAGAACTAAAGTACTGTGTTATATAGTTGACTTTTCATATTATTATAGTGAAACCGAAATCCGAGAAGAATTCAGTACTTTTTATGAAATGTAAATGATGTGCAGTAGATTGATATAGTTAGGCCTTGGTTGCAATTAACACTAAATGATGTTTAAATGTTAGCAAGCATTCTGTGAGTATTGCATGGCAATACATAGTCCCCTACTGGTTAAGAATTCATTGTATTGAAACAAAATTCTAATTTGATCTATAACTTGTTGGTGTTAACTATATAACAAATATCAAGTCAATATCTTCAAGCATGACCAAAATAAGTGTCGAAAACTGATTATTTAAGTGAATTTTCTAAGTCCAAGGATCATAACTCTGCACAAAATCATCAGACCAGAACAAAATTTTAACTTGATCTGTAACTTGTCATGATAAAACTATATACCAATTATCAAATCAATATCTTCAAGTGTGACGAAAAAAAGTGTGGAAAACTGATTATTTGAGTGAATTTTCTAAGTCCAAGGACCATAACTCTGCACAAAATCATCAGACCTGAACAAAATTCAAACTTGAACTGTAACTTGTCATGATAAAACTATATACCAATTATCAAATCAATATCTTCAAGAATGACAAAAAAAAAAGTGCGGAAAACTGATTATTTGAGTGAATTTTCTAAGTCCAAGGATCATAACTCTGCACAAAATCATCAGACCAGAACAAAATTTTAACTTGATCTGTAACTTGTCATGATAAAACTATATACCAATTATCAAATCAATATCTTCAAGTGTGACGAAAAAAAGTGTGGAAAACTGATTATTTGAGTGAATTTTCTAAGTCCAAGGACCATAACTCTGCACAAAATCATCAGACCTGAACAAAATTCAAACTTGAACTGTAACTTGTCATGATAAAACTATATACCAATTATCAAATCAATATCTTCAAGAATGACAAAAAAAAAAGTGCGGAAAACTGATTATTCTAGAGAATTTTCTAAGTCAGAGGACCACAACTCTGCACAAAATCATCAGACCAGAACAAAATTCTAACTTGATCTGTAACTCGTCATGATAAAACAATACATCAAATATCAAATCAATATCTTCAAGCACGAAGAAAATAAGTGTGGAAAACTGATTTGCCGGACTGACGGATGGACAGACAGACAGACGGACAGAGTGCAAACCTAAAGTCCCCTTCGACTTCGTCGGTAGGGGACTTATTAAACCTTTTGTAGTGTTCACAATTGAATTAAAACTTAAGTTTTAATGACTTTACAATAATAAAACTTTAAGAAACTCCGCCTTGGACTTCAGGGCACAAAACAGCAATTAATATAAAATGATTTTTCCAACTTTAAGTGTTAATTAAATGAATTATTTAATCAAATCTTAGAATTTCAAAGACATTTACATGAATTAATATTTGTGTAACCCAGTCCAGCAGTGAGACGATAATTACCTGGAAAGTTTTCACATAAAACTTCTATTGGGGTTGCTCTCTTTGTATCCCCAATTTTCTGATACCTCTCTTTGAGTGTATCAGCTTTCAATCCTTGCCACGGTAAACTTCCTCTCAGGAAGTACATAAACATGTGACCTAATGCTTCTAAATCATCTCGTCTACTTTGTTCTGAAAACACATATCAACATTAACATGATTATACAGAATTTGAAAGACAATTTATTTTGCTTGTAATATGTAATATGTAGAATTTGGAATTTTTATTACATTCTCCTTCTGTTTTAGATAAGCAATTTTATCAGATACAGTGTTTGTCATTGATTTGAGCCATGTGTCATTTTTTCTGACCACTTTTGCCCCTTTTATTATTGAACACCCCTTGTCCTTTAAGATTATTTAGCTATCCTAGGAATCAATAAATGTGCATATGAACAATCTTCAGAAGAAATAACAGTAGAAAATGTTAAACTGAGTAAGCATCTTTTTTATATTTGTTTTATGCATTCTTTTTTAAGTAGTTATTGGTGCCAAATTTTAACTTGGAATTAAAACTGTTTTAGGCAGTATACTATACAGAAATTATTATCATATTTTTTTGTGTTCTGTCAACCTGTAATCAGTATAATAAGAAAAGCATACACATAATGTATGGTCTATTTGGTTGAAATAACTGAAAGGACAAGAAAACTATGGACATTTTATATTTCTCTCTCTCAACTTTGGTTACATTTGAAAATTACAACCTTTTTAAAAACTAAAATAATAAATGGCATGATAATTATTTACATAAAAATCCTTTTTGCTATTGGCAACACAAAATATTTAATGGTAAAAAAATATCAAATAAGATATAACTACAGACAATCACTGACTAGCTTTGAAGCTTCATACAGGATAGGTGTTTTTCTTATACTTCATTTATGTGTTACAAGTATTTCTTAAAACATCTCTTAATTCAAATCAATAATAGAATACATTCTCCAAACAATTACAACTTAACCCTGTTGACACTTACCTTTGCCTAAATGAGTATTTATACTCATGTATCTGGCCGTTCCTGTGAGACTTTTATGCTCCCTATATGGAATATGTTTATGTGTTTCAGGGTCTATATATTCCTTTGCAAGACCAAAGTCAATTATATGAATAATATGCTGTTTCTTCGTAGACTGTCTTCCTATACAAAAATTTTCTGGTTTTACATCCCTATATATTAAATGTTTAGAATGCACAAATTCCATTCTTGTGAGCTGAAAAGAAAATGGGACATTGAAGATGAGACAAATATATTCAAAACTTGGGTGTCATTTTTGATAAAATATTTATAAAGCTATTCATTTAAACATGCAATATTGTCAATATAGAAAGCTTACAGGTTTCAAAACATTTTCTTTCTTTTTTTTCTGCCTAAAATAGCAGATATTGGATTACTAAAACTGTTAAATTACAGTATCCTCTATAGTTCAAATGCTACACAAGTCTGTGGGAGCAGGACAAAGAAAAGGGACCTTAAGCAGGCCATTTCCTTTCTTTTTTTTTATCTATGACTTAACATATCATAAGTGGTTCCCCTTTAAAAGACCCAATCACAAACTTTAACATGTAAAATGTGCTAAAATTCCCAAGCCACTGAACCATGACTAAAGGGACAGGGCCATATAATCTCCATGGAAATGAGAAGTGCTATAACTAATACAACTACATTCAAAATATCATTGACTTACCATTAGTGGTCCCCCTAAAACAACCTAATCACAAACTTTAACTTGTAAACTATGCCAAATTTAAAAATCAATAGACAACAAGAAATGATTGTAACAGGATGCTGTTACGAAGTCTCCCAAACGAAGCTCCCATAATTCGTAATTCCCAGGGTCGCCTGACATTGGGCAAAGTCCAGTGAAAATTGGTTTGGTCCAGTAAAGTTATATGCATTAGTGATGCCTGGGGACTAACCCTGTATATCATTCAAATCATCTTGGCATGACAAACCAGAATATATATGGTTTAGGGGTGGGGATCTCAACCATTTACAAGATATTAGAACTTTCTCAAATGGCAGGGGGTCGGATCATGACCCCTGGGGACTAACCCTGTATATCATTCAAACCATCTTAGCATGACAAACCAGAATATATATGGTTTAGGGGTGGTGATCTTGACCACTCACAAGATATTAGAACTTTTTTAAATGGCAGGGGGTGGGGGGTGACCCATGGGGACTAACCCTGTATTTCATTTGATGTGCTTTATCATGACAAACCAGAATATATATGGTTTAGGGGTGGGGATCTCAACCATTTACAAGATATTAGAACTTTCTCAAATGGCAGGGGGTCGGGATGACCCCTGGGGACTAACCCTGTATATCATTCAAACCATCTTAGCATGACAAACCAGAATATATATGGTTTAGGGGTGGGGATCTTGACCACTTACAAGATATTAGAACTTTCTTAAATGGCATGGGGTGGGGGTGACCCCTGGGGACTTACCCAGTATTTCATTTGATGTGCTTTATCATGACAAACCAGAATATATATGGTTTAGGGGTGGGGATCTCAACCATTTACAAGATATTATAACTTTCTCAAATGGCAGGGGGACGGGATGACCCCTGGGGACTAACCCTGTATATCATTCAAACCATCTTAGCATGACAAACCAGAATATATATGGTTTAGGGGTGGTGATCTTGACTACTTACAAGATATTAGAACTTTCTTAAATGGCATGGGGTGGGGGTGACCCCTTGGTACTAACCCTGTATTACATTTGATGTGCTTTATCATGACAAACCACAGTATATATGGTTTAGGGGTGGGGATCTCGACCATTTACAAGATATTAGAACTTTTTCAAATGGCAGGGGGTCGGGAGGACCCCTGGGGACTAACCCTGTATATCATTCAAACCATCTTAGCATGACAAACCAAAATATATATGGTTTAGGGGTGGGGATCTTGACCACTTACAAGGTATTAGAACTTTTTTAAATGGCAGGGGGTGGGGGTGGCCCCTGGGGACTAACCCTGTATTTCATTAAATGGGCTTTATCATTTAGAACATTTTCAATTAAAAAGATTGTGTCTATCACAAACAGTTTTCAATTTATACTCATTTGAACATTTTCAAAAATAAAATCCCATAGGGTTCTATAGTAAAACCCTCTTTTCTTTTTGCCCCTCAAAGTACCCCTTTATAAACCCCATTGCACAAACAAAACCCTGATTGCACCACTAGACATGTTAGTCTAACATATTGTGAAACCCTAAGTTAATCTGACAAGCGGTTTTGGAGAACGGGTGCGGACAAGTTCAAATTTAAAAACGGCGGAAGAAGAAGAAGAAGAAGAAGAAGAAGAAGAAGAAGAAGAAGAAGAAGAAGAAGAAGAAGAAGAAGAAGAAGAAGAAGAAGAATAATAATAATAATAATAATAATAACTGAGCAAAAACAATAAGTCTTCCCAAAATTCTTTTGGGAGACTTAATAACTGTGGGGGCTGGCACAAATAATCTTATGCACTTATGCTGATACTACTACACACCAAATGGCATTGACTTATCATTAGCTGTTCCCCTCAAGCTGACTAAATCAGACACTCTTTAACATTTGAAACTAAGCTAAAGTTTCAAAATCAATAGACCATGACTGAGGGGGCAGGGCCTAATACTCTCCATGGAAATGAGATGTGCCCATGCTACTTTAACTGCATACCAAATATCACTGACATACCATAAGTTGTTCCTCTTAAACTGACCCAAATAAAAACTTTAACAAAATGTTGATGCTGCTTGAAACAGCTTGAAACAGCAAGCCCAATTCTCACTTTCTTTACTTCATCAAAGCAAGACAAAAACTTGCTCTAATAAAATGCTTCGCTGGGGCGCAGCTTGATACGACCGCAGAGGTCGAACCCTGAACAGTTGGGGCAAGTATGGACACAACATTCAAGCTTGATACAGCTCTGAATTTGGATTGTTATTAAATATTTGAAACAGCATAGGTTTCTGACACAGAAAGAATGTGGTCTAAGAACTTGAATTTTTTTTATTTACCTATTATGGTCCAATGTCCAAAATCAAAATACATGGTTAGATTCAGCATATCAAAGAACCCCATATATTCAATTTTTGTTAAAATCAAACAAAGTTTAATTTTGGACCCCAACTTGGACAAACTTGAAAACTGGGCCCATAATCAAAAATCTAAACACATGTTTAGATTCAGCATATCAAAGAACCCCAAGAATTCAATTTTTGCTAAAATCAAACTAAGTTTAATTTTGGACCCTTTGGACCTTAATGTAGACCAATTTAAAAAACGGGACTTAAAATTAAAAATCTAAATACACGGTTAGATTTGGAATATCAAAGAACCCCAATAATTCAATTTTTGATGAAATCAAACAAAGTTTAATTTTGGACCCTTTTGACCTCAATATGAACCAATTTGATAGCGGGGCCCACAAATAAAAAAATCTAAATTCATGGTTAGATTCAGCATATCAAAGAACCCCATATATTCAATTTTTGTTGGAATAAAAAAAAGTTTAATTTTGGACCCCAACTTGGACCAACTTGAAAACTGGGCCCATAATCAAAATCTAAACACATGTTTAGATTCAGCATATCAAAGAACCCCAAGAATTCAATTTTTGTTAAAATCAAACTAAGTTTAATTTTGGACCCTTTGGACCTCAATGAAGACCAATTTAAAAAACGGGACACAAATTAAACATCTAAAAACACGGTTAGATTTGGCATATCAAAGAACCCCAATAATTCAATTTTTGATGAAATCAAACAAAGTTTAATTTTGACCTCAATATGAACCAATTTGATAACGGGGTCCACAAATAAAAAATCTAAATACATGGTTAGATTCAGCATATCAAAGAACCCCATATATTCAATTTTTGTTGAAATCAAACAAAGTTTAATTTTGGACCCCCATTTGGACCAACTTGAAAACTGGGCCAAAAATCAAAAATCTAAATACATGTTTAGATTCAGCATATCAAAGAACCTCATATATTCAATTTTTGCTAAAATCAAACAAAGTTTAATTTTGGACCCTTTGGACCTTAATGTAGACTATTTTGAAAACTGGACCCAAAATTAAAAATCTAAATACACTGTTAGATTCGGCATAACAAATAAATAAATGTGATCAAAGATTTTACAAATCTAATGCGCCATACTGTGCAATTAAAGAATACTTCTTGAAATTTTTCAATATTTGAAATTTGAAGAAAAATTCTTTCTAATTTCTGAAATCTGAAATGAGAAGAAATTGACACCCCACAATTTCTTTTTACCCCCCCCCCCCCCTTTTTTCCCCCAAAAAAATTCTTTCCCTCAAGATATGGTGATAATCTCAATTCAAATTTCCAATGGAGTTGGCAACCATAATTACCCATTTAAATTTACCATAGTGCTAACTTAATCTATTTTATAATAGAATTAATAAAATGCTTCGCTGGGGCGCAGCTTGATACGACCGCAGAGGTCGAACCCTGAACAGTTGGGGCAAGTATGGACACAACATTCAAGCTTGATACAGCTCTGAATTTGGATTGTTATTAAATATTTGACACAGCATAGGTTTCTGACACAGAAAGAATGTGGTCTACGAACTTGAATTTTTTTAATTTACCTATTATGGTCCAATGTCCAAAATCAAAATACATGGTTAGATTCAGCATATCAAAGAACTCCATATATTCAATTTTTGTTAAAATCAAACAAAGTTTAATTTTGGACCCCAACTTGGACAAACTTGAAAACTGGGCCCATAATCAAAAATCTAAACACATGTTTAGATTCAGCATATCAAAGAACCCCAAGAATTCAATTTTTGTTAAAATCAAACTAAGTTTAATTTTGGACCCTTTGGACCTCAATGTAGACCAATTTAAAAAACAGGACCCAAAATTAAAAACCTAAATACACGGTTAGATTTGGAATATCAAAGAACCCCAATAATTCAATTTTAGATGAAATCAAACAAAGTTTAATTTTGGACCCTTTTGACCTCAATATGAACCAATTAGATAACGGGGTCCACAAATAAAAAATCTAAATACATGGTTAGATTCAGCATATCAAAGAACCCCATATATTCAATTTTTGTTGAAATCAAACAAAGTTTAATTTTGGACCCCAATTTGGACCAACTTGAAAACTGGGCCAAAAATCAAAAATCTAAATACATGTTTAGATTCAGCATATCAAAGAACCTCATATATTCAATTTTTGCTAAAATCAAACAAAGTTTAATTTTGGACCCTTTGGACATTAATGTAGACCAATTTGAAAACTGGACCCAAAATTAAAAATCCAAATACACTGTTAGATTCGGCATAACAAATAAATAAATGTGATCAAAGATTTTACAAATCTAATGCGCCATACTGTGCAATTAAAGATTACTTCTTGAAATTTTTCAATATTTGAAATTTGAAAAAAAAATAATATTTGAAGAATAATTCTTTTTAATTTCTGAAATCTGAAATGAGAAAAAAATTGGCCCCCCACAATTTCTTTTTATCCCCCCCCCCTCCTTTTTTCCCCCAAAAAAATTCTTTCCCTCAAGATATGGTCATAATCTCAATTCAAATTTCCAATGGAGTTGGCAACCATAATTACCCATTTAAATTTACCATAGTGCTAACTTAATCTATTTTATAATAGAATTAATAAAAATATAGTGTCAAATCTTTCATATGGATTTTTTTGTAAAAAAAAAAGATGAAAACATTTGCAGATATTTTTACTGGTCTTCCTTTATAAATATGCATTTCTTTAAACATAATTTAAAAGCAGTGTAAGGGAAGTAACCAAAACGTTGTATTTGGATTACCTCCCTTACACTGTTTTAAATTATCTTTATTGTTCATTAACCATTACTTTATACATAATTTAAAAGCAGTGTAAGGGAGATAATTTCAATGATGTATTTGATTTATCTCCCTTACACTGCTTTAAATTATGTTTTGTACTAAAGTATTTGTCCATTAACCAGGACAACCTTGTTTTTCCCCCTTTTTTGCCCCTAATTCCTAAATGGTTTGAGCCATAACCCCCCAAAGCAAATCCTAACCATCCCTTTGTGGTATGGAAACTTGTAGTATAATTTCAGAGAGATCCATACACCGTTCCACAGTTATTGTCTGGAAACTAGAAAATGCTTATTTTTGGCCCCTAATTCATTAACTGTTGGTACCATAACCCCCAAAATCAATCCCAACCTTCCTTTTGTGGTATTTAACCTTATGGTAAAATTTCAAAAAGATCCATTCACTTAAACTAAAGTTAGAGTGCGAAAACCAATGTGTCTTCGGACGACGACGCCGACGACGCCAACGTCATACCAATATACGACCAAAAAATTTTCAATTTTTGCGGTCGTATAAAAATTCAAAGATACACTGGATTCTTTTTCTTCATTAGAACATTGCTTTTCAACTCCATGAAATAGCAGTGTTAAAAAATCTGCTTCAAAACAGAAGCATTTAGCAATCAATAATTTTGTTTTCATATTCTTTAATCAGTGAAGAAATATTCAAAATACACCTAAAAGAAACTGGTGCTTTAACAAAATACAAATTTTACAATTTTTTTACGAATGATTTATAATGTATCAAAAAAGGTCAAGGACACACATCATACATGTAGGTAAACTTTGCCTCCAGGTATCTTTTACCTGTAACTTATTACTGATTGCATTGATTATCTAATACTAATTTGTAAATTCACCAGAGTTCAAATGCCATACACTGGCATACAGAGATCATCAATCATATAAATTAATATTTCTATCAAAAAGTATCTATATATTTTTATTTCCACAGAAAAAAAAAGTTATTTTGTTATTTTATTTTACACTCAAAACAAAGAGAAAACCATCCATTATGTAACATACTGGTAAATATATCAAATACTTTAACAAAAAGAAGTTTATCATAAGTACATATGTTCCTAGTGGTTATTGATTGGTGTAAGAAATGAAACAATCAATCTTTTTACAGTGGTGTATTTCAATTTCAAGCTGTAATTTAGAACTGATATCTATTAGCATGATTAGTAAGTAATGTTTATCTGAAAATAATATGGAAACCAAACTTGGATCCATAAATTCAAGAATTAAAATGACCAAAATGAATCTCAGTATTTGTCCTGAAGTACAACATCCCTTGAGAAAGCAAAACACTTGGGCAAGGATAATCTATGGGAAACCTTAACCTTGAAGCTAACCCTATATAAAACATACAGATTTTTACTATTGTCAGAAATTTAAAGTCAGTAGCCTGTATAAAATGTCCAGCTCGTCATTTTTTAGTGTCTAACAAACTCTAATGCCCCAAGATCTTTTTTTCCACAGACAACAGCAATTATTCATTCAGCCATATATTACAGGACAGGAAAAACCAATCATCACACATGGTTTAAACACCTTCTGGCTTCTTTTACGGTCAAAAAATCATTAGATCTTAAATCTACCCCACATGATCTTACCATAATGTAATATTAAATAAAATAGCTATAACAGAAATGATAATTTCCCCCTAATCTAGTGTGTAACTACTCATGCATGACATGTCTTTTACTACTAAGACAAGGTTATGACCTTGTTACATGACATTATTATAATCCAACATCTGTCATACATCACTGACAACAAATATACGTCTCAGCTGGTCATATAAAAATTACAAACTTATATAACATTAAAAACATATACATTGTAACAACAATCAGGTGTAGCTAAAATCTATATCAGCAAGTATGCAATTGTGAAATCACAAAATGTACAAAGTCAGCATGTTCTTGAGAGATAGTATGTATAAGTCTCAAAAATAAACTTTCCAACTATTCACTCTATTAAATTTATATCAAATTCTTATCATTATCTATATATTTTCAATGGAATAGGGAATTAAGATTTATCAAAATCCTTAGCCCAAATTTTAACGCACGGTTTTTTCCTCAAACAATACTGTAGATCATGCAAAACAGACTGTAAAGTCATATAAAAATTTTCACAATTTCACATTATTCTTTAAATCATTAGTAAAAATTGGGCTCTTAACTAGCTTTCAGTAAAAGCAATTATGTTGTGTCATTGATTTTGTTACCAGTAATTTATTTTGTAATTAGCCCTTTCCAACATATTTTTTTGCACTTTGTTCTTAAGTTGTGCTGTTAACACTTTAAAATGTTAAGAAAAGGGTTGTGTGCTTACAAAAATGTTTAACCCGTCACATCCTTTGTGTAGGAACCTGTAATCCAGTAGTGGCCATTGATTGCTGTTTGATGTATTTATCTATTGTTCATTGTTGTGGTATAAATCTGGCGGTTAGATATCTCTTTCAAAATTAATTTTAAGATTTAGTCATACTCTTGCTGTTCTTTACTGTATTTATTTAGCTAATTGTTAAAGAGCTTATAGTGACATATATATGCTTATATCCAGGTCATTTAGACTGGTGAATAGTTTACTCATTGGTAATCATTCCCTTACTCCTTACTTTCATATACAACGTCTAGGCTGATGATACAAGGAACCAGTAAAATACTTACCAGTTGTATAGCTATCATCAAGACAGTCTTAAGAGAAAATTTTCTGTCACAGAGATCAAACAGATCTTCTAGACTAGGTCCTAGTAACTCTAATACCAGGGCATTATACTTCCCACATGGTCCAAAATAATACACATTTGGTATCCCCTCTGAAATTAGAAAATATGCAATAATTAGATATAGGAATTATGTCTTTTATAAATGGTTGGTTTCTGAGGTTTCATATGCAGGAAAAGAAAATTTTCTTCACAACAAGCTATAGACAGACCACTCACACAGAGATGTATGGTATATTTTTACACCCTCAATACATAGTTCTGACTGAAGACCAAGGCGGATCAAATCAAGACTGCATTTATGCTGCACAGTCTCGTCCGCTTCACTTTTTATTCTAATCAATGAAGTTCAGTTACAATTCAGGAGTCTTCATGTTCCAACCACAAGACCATCAACCCAGGCTCATAAAAATTTGGGAACTTCATTTTTCCTACATTATCACAATAATCATACTATAGTGGATCCATTATTATTCTTTGAGTAAAAGTTTTTGCTGGTTTCATGGGAAAAGGTGAACCATGAATTTCAGTTCAAAAAAATACAAATTTAATAAAATGAATTGTATGGAGAATTTTTCAGAACCAAAAATCAAGTACAGATGAATATAAACAATTTTCCTCAATCCTCTAAAATTGGTACCAACATAAATCAATTAATCCATAGGATGTTAAAGTGTTTCACACTGTATGAAAGACAATTTACTTTTCCAACGTGATTTTAAGGAGTTCTTGATTAATATGTATTTCAGGATTAATGATAACAAAGTTATGTCTGTTTTCAGTGACACTTCATTCACACCAATCTTGCATTCTCTATAAAACATAAGTCTATAGAGAAGTTTTAATCTTGTATTCTTTTCATTTCATTTTCATTTCTCTTTTTATCACAAATAATCATAGCTCCTCCATCCTACTCTGCTGAACTTTTAAGGTCTTGTAAACTTTCAATCTACCACCATTTGTCAACAATAAAATTGATAATACAACATGTTACTGATTAATCAAGTGGTTTGCAATACATGTACATATACTTTATTACAATAAATTGGGGTAAGCTATGTTTGTTTAAGAAAACTTTCCATATCATAAATGACATTTCTGTTAAGTTTTTTTTGTACCCATATATGTATACAGACAGGCTTGAGACAGCAGGACCTTATTTAACATTCTATGAATATATGTTTTAGTCTATAACTTTCCCATTCACACCCTAACAAGATGTTACCTGCTTGACCAAGCTGTTTATAAAATCTGTATTCTAAGTGAAGTTGTGGAGCTCTAGACTTCATAGACTCCTGAAATATAATCAAATTATATAACTTGTAACAGCTTTCACAATTCAGAACAATGTTCAGACCTTGCTTAATCTCAATATAATAGTTAACTAATACAACACAATATTTATTGAAGTCCTACAGTTGATTTTTAATAAAGTTTATTAATATTTTTTTTTACAACTAGTGAATGAATTTACAATGAATGTAAATCATACTACTGTGGATTCATTATTATTCATTGGATACTAATTTTCATGGATTTCTTGGGTACAGGTGGACCACAAATTTAACTGCTCAATGAAGTACAAATTTTCTTTAGGTTTGTAGACTTTTTTAAAACCATGAAATCAAATATCCACCAAAATACAATTTTTTACTTAATCCACAAATATTGGTACCCACGAAAAATAAATGAATCCACAGTAACTAATAAACATAGTGTGCCCAGTCTACTTTTTTTAAATTAGCAGTGATAATGTATCAATGAAACCCATATATGTATATAAACACATACAGTGCCTTTAACTCTTAAATTCAAAAAGTCTATGAAACCATAGATGTATGATCTATGCTGAAACTAAAAGTTGATACATGAGATTTGTTTTGAATCTTGCTGAAGGGTGTGATATTTCTACTTCCATCTTGTAAGTTCCTTTGGTATATTATTTGTTAATGATTCATTTGACTTCTGTCATATGTACAAATCAAATCTTATACTCTATTTTTTTAAGCGTCCGCTTAGTCATTGGTGAAATGTAAGAAGAGGGCAAGATATGGAAATCAATAACATAAACATTTTCTATAATTGGAGAAAACGTGAACTCACATATTTTGGAAAATTTTCACCAGTTAAATGTAAAATTTTGAGAAACTTGAAGTATATTATGTATACAAGTATAAAAAGCATGATAAGTAAATTTTTAGTTAAACATTGTATTCCCTCTCGAGTACATTTGTGCTTTCTTCAGCATATTAAATAAAAATTTGTAAGGATTCCGCAGAACCCAGTGTCTCGCCTACTTTTGCTGTTGTCTATGTTTTCAGTGTGATACGGGAATGCACATAATAGATTTACAGTTAATGAAATAAAATGTTTGAAATGTATGAAAAAAGTTGTGCTTGTAAAAAATGAATACAGTATGCAATCAAATCTAAAGATTTATAAAAGAGTTGAAACATAAATTTATTGAAAGAACAAATGATAAAGAAGATAATTTTTACATTGCTTGATGATTTATCCCTTAATTCATCAATAAAAATGCATGTAAATAGAAGATGCAATCATGAAATTTTGTTCAAAATAATTGATGCAACTAAAAAAGTAGAATATTTGTGCAAATAAGAAAATTGTGTGTTATAGGAAATATGGGAAGCATTTTTTTCCTCATAAACAACATTTTCAATGATTATAGAGTCAATTAAAATAAAATGATTAACGGCCAGGTTACATAAATAAAGGTGATTTCTGTCCAAGTTTGTTAAAAATCCAGGATAGTTTAAGAAAGCTATTAAAATTTAAAACACTTTAACTACAGAGTGAATATTTGTGGACGCCGCTGACAGAATGTAGGATTGCTATGTCTTGCTTTTGCGACAAAAGCTGCAGGCTCAACAAAAATGGAGAAAAAATTATTCAAAATTTTCCTCAAGATACTATCTTTTGATTTTGATTGTAAGACGCTTCTGTCCAAGTTTGCTAAAAATTCAGGATGGTTTGTGAATCTAATAAATGTCTGTGTCATGTTAACTGGAAGAAAAACTAATTCCATTTATAAGTAATATATGGAAAAACAGGAAATAAATTTTTACAAAATTTACATACTATCTTATGATCATAAACAAGCTTCTGTCCAAGTTTGGTAGAAATTTGGGATAGTTTAAGAAAGTTATTAAAATTTCAAAAACTTTAACCACAGAGTGAATATTTGTGGATGCCACCGCAATGTAGGATCGCTATGTCTTGCTTTTGCGACATAAGTCGCAGGCTAAACAAAAATGCTTTCCCTTTTTTATCTCATATTTGCCATTCCGTTTCCTTTAATTTAAAATAGATTTCTGAGTATTTTTAAAGTTGTCTGAAATGTAAATTCCACTTTCTTTTTTCTCAACATTTCCCTTCCTCAATAATCAAATCAATTCCTTTGTTTATTGGTAAAGACAACAGTACTTTAAACTTACCAATTTTATGGCCACATGTTCATTATTGTACAGATTCTTCCCTGAAAAGAATAAATTAATAAAGTAAGTCTGACAGTTCAACTTCAATACAATGATTATCAACTTCTAAGAATCATGTAAATATTAATAAAGAAAGCACTTTGGTAGCTGTTTATTAGGTCTACTGTCTGTTAATTTTTAATTGCCACCAGTTTTAAACCTTGTTTCAAATAAATCATGGATATGTCCTCCATGTTAATGTACCATGTCTTCATGCATCATCAGTTGTACTACATGTATTACAATTTACCATTGGAAATACACTTCAATTGTAAGTCTACATTGACTTCAACTGATAATATAGAGTCGTTATGAACTTTTACACATGCAAATGAACCCAAGATGCATGTGGGTCTCTTCAACTTTAATACTTATACATTTAGGCTTTCAAATATTTAACTTTTGAGCCTTCCCGAGGAAGGTAAATCCAGAAAAGCGCTTTGGACACATGAAATTTATGTTGTTTTCATTACAATAAAGTTGAAATCAAAAATCCTATTATGAGTCTATTCCTTTTTAATTTTACCAGATGACCCATTACCCAGATAACTTTAAATTAGAATTTGAGACTACCATGACAACTGTTACAACTGAAATGTTTTTTTTCATGAAGATCTGTTACAAATTCATAGATGAGATAGTACCAGTTGACAGACAACACTCAAATAATACATCAATGTGTTTCTCTTTTATGCCATAGAAGGGGTAAGAGAAAGGTTTTTGTCAACATAAAACTCTATTAACTACAACACAGTTTGAGCCTGTACCAAGTCATGTAGGACAAATTTTTTTCAACCAATTATAAATCTAGATCCTTTGGAAGTGTACCACCATTCATATAAAATAAATGGGGAATGTGTCCATGGGACACAGATGATGCCCCTGCTTGCATATAACATTATAAAGGGACACAACTCAAGAACGGTAAAATTGACGGTACCCAAATTCGTACATGATCTGAGTTTTGTGGTAATAAGCATTGTGTATAAGTTTCATAGCATTTGGTTGAGGAAAACTTTAAGTAGAGAATGGAAACGAAAAATTGTAAAGGGGCATAACTCTAGAAAGGTAAAAGTGACACCTAAATTCAAACTTGATCTGTGTTTTGTGGTAATAGGCATTGTGAATAAGTTCATAACATTTAGTTGAGGTAAACTTGAGCAAATAAGCATAGTCATACATGAAGTGGGTTTAAATGGAAGTTTTGCTTTTAACATGTAGAGAGGTAAACAAATGCAAACATGTTTTGTTGTCAGTTGTACCGAACATTTAAAAAAAAAATATATGTATAATACTACAAGAGACAATTCTCAAAATACCTCAAAAGTTCACTGATTTGATTTAGCACACACCACCATTTATAAAGCCTTGCGACAGTGTTTTATTGATCACTATTAGTTAATGAAGTGTGTAATTCTGCTCCTAGGATCAGTGGGAACTAATTAATGCTGTCATTTATAAGTGTAGGATTATAAACCCATTCAAGGACTATTTCAATGAGATAAATATTCAAGTGACCACTAAATCAATTGATTGTATCTAATCAAATAATTTATGGTAGGGAAATGTCAGAAAACATTTCTAGTTCATAATACATGTACATTGCAATACACTGTTAATTAATGAGGGCTTGGGGTCTTCTAAATCATACAAAATGTATTTTCACTTTATTCTGGTCACCCTAAGTGCATAACCACCCCTTTTTAGTTCCAGAAAATACAATGTAACTAAATCAACAAAATAAAGAAATAAATCCACCCAGAAGCACAGATACTACATCAAACTTGAATTTTGCACATAGTATATGAATAAAATAAACTGGACGGTCACATGTGGAATACATGTATTAACAATTCCCCTGACCATGGCCATTTCAGGGAAAAACATTATAATATATGAAAGTATAAAAAAAATTTCATCACAAACATTTGACCATAAACTTAAACTCATTTAACATTTTTATTACATTGTACTTGTAAATTATTGATTTTATTGACAAATTTCAAAAGTAGGGTAATCCTTTAATTCTGATAAAACATGAGCAAGCAACAGGTGCACCTGACTCCAATCAATTAATTGTTTACCCCCCATCAGGAAGTTCATTAACCAGACCCCCTAGACATAATTATGTATTGCCTGGATTTATCTAAGAATTTCTTTATATTCCCCAGATCAACAGGATTAAATCTAATCATAATACATATGTAGGTATTGATTATTTACACCTTTACTAAAGTGCATAGCCAATTCTTACAGGAAATATATATTTGAATAAAAAATTCTCTCAACAGCAAGAGAAACACACATTTCAAGATTGGAAAAAAATCTGAACACTTAAAACCTGTAAAGCAAAATGTTGAGGCCTTTCAAATTCACGCTCCTGTCTGTTTAATTGATCTATTGGTCATTAAACAAGTAAAGGCTTATTTCAAGTATTTTTGAAGGTACATGTATCAATATATGCAGTCCCATACATTACAGATCCAAGAAAACTCCACTAGTTACAATGTACAAAACTGTCAGAAGCGGATTTAAAGGCCCCCCCCTCTTTTCTGGGTAAAATTTGGTTGATTATATAGAGAATCACTGAAGCATGACCAGAGCGGGGCCCCCTCTTAGGCATTCAGTGGGCCACCACTTATGAATTTCTGGATCTGCCACTGACTGTAGTATGTTTCATTATAACATATCTGTTTTTCCAAGTGTCTCTAGTTTTGAAGAATGAAGAAGATGAGGGTAATTTATAAATGAGACACTAATCCAAATTTCTGACCAGAATAAATATTTTCAACTTCTTGTCAAAGAAATATCATTATATGGCATTTCAATATGAGTTTTTTTTTTATCACAATTTGCAATTCTGTACTACTGTGAATTTTCATTAAATGAATATACCAATAAAATTATTAGTATAAAATAGTGAATAGATAAAAGTATCCCCAGAGGTGCAGTATTTTGGAGGTATATCACTGCCCACGCTAGCCATTTCACCAACATTTTGAGTTAGACTTTTCCTTACCAACAGCTTGTAAACTGATTTGACTATTGGGAATCTCTAAATTAAATTTGTACACACAACTGAAATTGTTCAGGAGATTCAAACACTGACAAATATATAGATAAAATGCTCCGCTGGGTGCAGCTTGATACGACCGCAGAGGTCCAACCCTGAACAGTTTGGGCAAGTATGGACACAACATTCAAGCTTGATAAAGCACTGAATTTGGATTGTGATTAAATATTTGACACAGCATAGGTTTCTGACACAAGGATGAATGTGGTCTAAGAACTTAAATTTTTTTTAATTTACCTATTCAAACCATATCATTATTATTTGCTTTTATATATAAATCAGAAATAACCAATCTAAAATGGAAAATTTTAAAGAAAAAAAAAGGGAAAAAAAATCCCCCCCCCCCAAATTTTTTGAACCCCCTTATGATTCATCACCCCCAAACTCTTCCCTTTTTATGGTACTTTGAAGTACAATTTCAGAGAGATCCATACACTTGAACACAAGTTATTGTCTGGAAACTAGAAAAATGCTTGTTTTTTGGCCCCTTTTTGGCCTCAAATTCCTAAACGTTTAGGGCAATAACCCCCACACTCAAACCCAGCTTTCCCTTTGTGATATGGAACCTTGTAGTACAATTTCATAAAGATCCATACACTTACACACAAGTTATTGTCCGGAAACTAGAAAAATGCTTGTTTTTTTGCCCTTTTATGGCCCCTAATTACTAAAATTTTGAGGGAATTACCCCCAAAATCAATCCCAGCCTTCCCTTTGTGGTATGGTACCTTGTAGTACAATTTCATAAAGATCCATACACTTACACACAAGTTATTGTCCGGAAACTAGAAAAATGCTTATTTTTGGCCCTTTTTGGCCCCTAATTCCTAAAATTTAGAGGCAATTACCCCCAAAATCAATACCAGCCTTCCATTTGTGGTATGGTACCTTGCAGTACAATTTCAGAGAGATCCATACACTAACACACAAGTTATTGTCATGAAACTAGAAAAATGCTTTTTTTTGCCCCTTTTTTGTCCCCTAATTCCCAAAATTTGGAGGCAATTACCCCCAAAATCAATCGCAGCATTCCCTTTGTGATATGGAACCTTGTGGTGCAATGTCAGAGAGATCCATACACTAACACACAAGTTATGTCTGGAAGTTACAATAAAATGCTCCGCAGGGCGCAGCTTGATACGACCGCAGAGGTCGAACCCTGAACAGTTGGGGGAAGTATGGACACAACATTCAAGCTTGATACAGCTTTGGATTTGGATTGTGATTAAATATTTGACACAGCATAGGTTTCTAACACAGATTGAATGTGGTCTAAGAACTTAAAAATTTTAAATTGGACATTCACCTATTATGGTCCAATATCCAAAATCTAAATACATGGTTAGATTCAGCATATCAAAGAACCCCAAGAATTCAATTTTTGATGAAATCAAACAAAGTTTAATTTCGGACCCTTTTGACCTCAATGTGGACAAAGTTGATAACGGGGCCCAAAAATCAAAAATCTAAATACATGGTTAGATTCAGCATATCAAAGAACCCCATATATTCAATTTTTGTTGAAATCAAACAAAGTTTAATTTTGGACCCCGATTTGGACCAACTTGAAAACTGGGCCCATAATCAAAAATCTAAATACATGTTTAGATTCAGCATATCAAAGAACCCTAAGAATTAAATTTTTGTTAAAATCAAACTAAGTTTAATTTTGGACCCTTTGGACCTTAATGTAGACCAATTTGAAAACGGAACCAAAAATTAAGAATCTAAATACACGGTTAGATTCGGCATATCAAAGAACCCCAATAATTCAATTTTTGATGAAATCAAACAAAGTTTAATTTTGGACCCTTTTGACCTCAATGTGGACAAAGTTGATAACGGGGCCCAAAAATCAAAAATCTAAATACATGGTTAGATTCAGCATATCAAAGAACCCCATATATTCAATTTTTGTTGAAATCAAAC